ACGTTTGTCTGATGTGCAAGCAAGTTGGGAACATGGCCAAGCAGCATGAGCAAGCAACAGTGTGTTCGAACCAGGCCAAAGCGCCCCGAGACCCATCTAGACGCCCACGACATCATCCAAGCGCTCACGATGCGCATAACCTGCAAGCTTGGAGGGAGGTTCGTTAAGATGTGGCAATATAGCATGTTCGATTAGAGTTGCAGCCACCGGCGACACATTGCGCAATGGGCGAGCGCGTAACGAGTCTGGATTGCGAGCCTGTGCCTGAAAATCCGGCACTTTGGGCTGACAGCTTCAAGCCTCCAGCCCTAATCGAATAGCCTTGGGGCGGACTGAGATCGTAGGGCTGGCGGTTAGGCATCTTCCATGTGCGTTAACGTGCGGGGCAGCCTCAAAAGGGTCCAGAGAGCGGCTAACGGTTGCTCGGTGATGGACTGGTTGTTTCTACTTTACTCGGTTGAGTAGAGATCAGATGCGAAATGGTCACATCTTGGGCCATCGAGGCGATGACGTTGAGGCAGTGACTGCATCGTGGAATCTTCATCGTCTCGGACCAGTGTACGAATATTGATGCCGAGCCGTGACCGCTTCTTGGACCTTTGACGAATGCGAGCTCGCAGAGTGGCATTTCGGACTGGTGACATTCGCTAGTGTGCATACAGTACAAGTGCTTGGGTCAGGGAGCGGAAAGATAGCCGAAACTCGGCGGTATGGTGAAGCTCTTGACCAAGTATTCCAATTACTTCTTGAAGCCATGTGCCGAGCTTTGTGGCGAGCTCAACGCTCATGCTGTAGTGCATCTCAGCACTGGACGGTGTGCAAAGTTGGATGAAGATTTGCAGCCAACCAGGATCGGATGTGGCCAGGCGGGCGGGCCTCAAAAAGCTTGTTTGGACTCTAGTCCCGGTCGGGGCGGCCGGCGCTTACAATGTCCATCGATGTCCAGTCAAAGGCTCGTAATACCACCACCCCGCTCCACCATCTCGCTCTTCCCGTGCATGGCTGCAAGCTGCCTGAGCAGGGCCTTCAGGGCCCGATTCCTCCAATTCGCTCACCCAGCGGTCATGCGAACGAAGGACAAGCCCCATGCTGATATCCGCTAATCCATCAAGCGGAGCTGGCCTTACCGACCGACGGGAACCCTACATCCAGGCAAAGGTCTGTGATACGACTGCGGCTTCTGTCTTGTTCCCTCGACGACTACGCTAGAGCCCTAGACTGATGAGCAGGATTATGCTGCGGCCCCGACATGATGAAATGCCTCACATGAGATGGAAAGAGGGCCACGTACACGACACGATAGTGCGCGCTGTGCAACTGCTCCAAGGCTGCTCGACATGGAGAACCGTCATGTTTGTGCGTACGTCCGTATGTCAAAAGGGACCAGAAATCGAGCACACAGATAGGATGAGGTGCCTGATGCAACCGAAAGCGCCCCTCGCTTAAAAGGGAAGACCAAGATCGGTCCGCTTCCTTGCCGTCCGCTACTCACCAGTCACAGCGCAAAGCCCAGTGCATGAAGCGCATTCCGGTGATAGCTGCAAAGCCCTTCGATAATCTAATGTGTTTTGATGCAGGTTGTGAGTGTGACGGCGCGCTTTAGGCTCTAGATTACCCTTTTGAGATGCCCCCGGCCTGGACTGGCAATCACATCTTGGCCCAATAGCGTGGGCTTTGGTGAGCGGCAGAATATCATTCTCCATTTGCTGCCACGATACGACAATCCTATCCCCTGCGAGTCACCCGCACCCCACTTGGCCATAGGACTTAAGGAACTGGGCTCCTGCTCGCGCACGCTATCTACTTTTCAGCGCGCATGCCCCATCCGATGTCTCGATAACATCTGCGAGCATTTGTACCGGATACCGTCATCGCAAAGCGAAAACAAGAGGTGGACCTAGCTTCTTACCAGACGGGGCCGATCCTAAACACCGCAGCATAATATCAATCCTGGATCCAGTTTCCGCCGCGCCACGGGAGCGCATGGCCACAATAAACGAGCCTTGACCTTGTCATCATCCATGTAGAACCGGGACCCCGGATGTCCTTCAAGCAACCATCTTCTCGAACCCATTACTCGCCGGTCCAGGACGCGTCTACGTTGCGGTTCAACTTCTGCTGGCGGAGGTGATTTACGAAACAAACACCACGCCGATTGTTACGAATACCACACACACATTCGAAGATGCCAGCCCTTCGGGAAGCTCTCATGGCACGGACAGGCGTGGCCATGGGGCAGCTGGGTATCGCTGCATCACACGCCGAGCACAACATCGCAGAATCCGTCTCAACATTACTACGGCGGGTGAATATCCCATTCAACAGCACAAGCCCGTCCGGCCTGATAGAAGCCAACACCGTCGACCCATTCAACAAGAGTGGAAAACATGCGCTGGCATATGTCTACTTTTGCATACCTCTACTGGTCATTGCGGCGCTCATGCGATACTACCACTTATTCACGGACAAGATCCGGACAGCGTTACATCAAGAAGAGGTATTACAGTCCTCGAAAACATCATCTCCCGCCACAGACTACGAGCTATCAGTACTTGATACTGACAAGTCTACCATGAAGTTCTTTCCTCGCGAAGGCCCGCTACCAAGTGTGCCAAAACAGCAATCTAGTGTATCCTCAGTGGGCCCAATCAACAACATAGTGGCCTTTTTCCGATTTATCTTCTATCGACCGACGCCGCAGATTCAGTTAAAGAAAGGATGGAGGCCTATTGTATTTCCCTCCTTGTCGACGATTGTGATCGTATCACTTGCTTTGATCCTAGGAGTGCTCTACTGCACCCTTCCTCAGCCACTGTTCTGGGAAAGCATTGCTTATGGCTCACCTCCACTGGCAGTTCGCTCTGGCATGATGGCGGTTGCTCTCATGCCTTGGATCGTCGCGCTTGCCATGAAGGCGAACCTCATCTCCATGGTGACTGGCATCAGCCACGAACGATTGAATGTACTGCACAGATGGGCAGCGTACATTTGTCTGGGTCTCAGCATCATGCACACTGTCCCTTTTTACGTTACACCGGTTTGGGAAAAGGGTGCGAGAGAGTCTTTCAAACAGTTGTTCGAACAAAACGATGGAATGTACATTTACGGCACAGGTATGCTTGCTATTCTCAGCAGTTATGTATCAGAAATTGACAGGTCACAGGTATCGCAGCGCTTGTTCCCCTGTGTTTCCTTTGTATGCACTCGATCGCCCCTCTCCGTCACCGAATGTATGAGCTCTTTGTAGCGCTACATGTGCCAGTCTCCATTGTCTTCCTCGGCATGATGTTCTGGCATTGCAACAACTACCTGACATCTTGGGACTACCTGCTTTCGACCGTTGCAGTATGGCTATCTTCCTATATTATGCGGCTCTTTTACCTCAACTGGGCTCGTCCAGGACGTGTGTCATGGCTCATAGGCGATGAGTGTGCTGTGACCCTCATGCCAGAAAACGCCATCAAGATCACCATTCCAACTCAGATGAAATGGAGGCCTGGACAATACGTCTATCTCCGCATGCCTGGCATCTCTGTATTCGAGAACCACCCTTTTACTATCGCCTCGCTCTGCAGCGAGGATTTCCCTTCGGAATATGGTGAGGGCTACCGCGACATGGTCTTGGTCTTCCGACCATTTGGTGGCTTCACCAGGAAGGTCCGTGAGAAGGCCCTCCAACATGGTCCATGGCATACCTACCGGGCTTTTGTCGATGGTCCCTACGGAGGCATGCAACGACGCATCGAAGCTTTTGATGATGTTGTACTTATCGCTGGCGGTAGCGGCATTACCGCTATTGTCTCTCAACTCCTATCCTTAATCAAAAAGATGCGCGATGGCAAGGCAGTTACACGCAAGATTCACGTCATCTGGGCCCTCAAACGTCCTGAGACGATGGAGTGGTTCAAGGAGGAACTTCGCATCTGCCGAGAGTATGCGCCACCCGAGACAGTAGAGTGCCAATTCTACATCACCGCAGCGAAGCGCAACCTTGCTGGTGGGCTGGTTAGTGCAAAGACACCGATACGCCCCGTGTCGCTCTACTTCCACGACAAGGTCAACGATGCTTTTCAAAATATCGCTGAACATCGCTTGTCCGGTATCTCGTCCAAGCGACACTCAGCCCTCATCCGTGATGAAGCGCAAGGCGACCCAGAGAAGGAGTCTGAACTTCGACGCGAAAACGAAGACAGCATTACCGCACTTCCACAGGCGCACTTGCTGCCTATCAACAGGGGCCATCTGGCCCCACCACGCCCCAGCCGCGACAACGGCAGTATCTCCGCAGAGTCAGCAAATAGCTCGAACCCCGACCTCATTGCCCCGGCGCCCCGCGGATTGGCTGCCCGTCGTCAGGAGCGTAACCTTTCTCTTGATATTTCACAGGCTGTCGCGGCCGGCTCTGGGGCAATGGCCCCTAGCATCGTCCACAACCCTACTGAGACTACTCAAGGGTTCGACTTTGGTTTCCCCTCGACGCCCACCGAGTTCCAGAAGAACCTGATGCGCTTTGCCTTTTTGCCCGCCGCCGTCAAGAAGAAGGACGGGTGGAGCACAGAATACGGACGCCCAGATATACCGTATCTACTCAAGGGGCTGAGTAAAAACTTTGGTAGACGCACTTGTGTCTTTGTGTGCGGACCACCGGCAATGCGCATCAGTGTCAGTGAGACTGTTGCGCAGTTGCAACGAAGTGTGTGGAATGACAGTGGGCGCGACGAAATTTTCCTTCACGCCGAGAACTACGCTTTATAAAGCTATCATGGTCACGCGACCGTCCTAACTTCCCTTACCTTTTCCCTTGTGCATAGCGTTGGTAGGCTTGGTGTATATACCCCTTTCTTTTTCCTTTTGTGTTCCACTATACCTGTATATGTATGACGACTTGAACGAATATGAGCAAGTCAGCTCTCCTTTTTTTTGTAAGCAGGATACCCCAGGCTAGGAGCTAATATGGGTAAATTTAAACCTTGTTGTCTTTTGAAACAAACTTTGAACTATTGTCACCAGGTTCTCAAGGATACGCGTTAGATGTGACAGAGTCTTGACAGGCACGAGCGCATTGTCACAGAATTGGTGGTGTCTTGCTTATCCAGCCCATTTTCGTGGTGAAGGGCTGCTGTGCGCGGGGGGCGTGCTGCCTCGGTAAGTCTTGTGCTCTTTTGTGAAAGCCACATAAAAGAGGTTTGATTGAGGCGTGGTTGTCAGTGTATGAGCGCAGCGGCAAGGGCATATCACGCTGCTCATGGCATTGTCACCTTCTGCATCTGGTTCGTCCATGGCCGGACGGGAGTTGTATTCAGCACCCTCCTCGCTCCAAGGGAGTTGGTGGGGTCAACATTCACCCATGGACGTAACGGCACAATCAGGACATCCTTGTCGCGTCGAGGCAAGAGGGTGTGCATGCGGAGTTGGTGTCCCGCGCTTCGGTGGCTTTGTATGTTGGCACAGCACTGGGGTGGTAAATAAGCGCACAAAAAAGCACAACGGCCATGGTGGTTCAGCGTCGTGTGGCGGGTTGTGGTGGACGAGTGGAAAGGGAAGAGAGAGGAGGGGCTCGCAGACGGCCGACTGCCGTACGGTATGTTCGCTTGATTGCGATACGTGCAGCGTCGCGAACAACCGCACGACTGCAAGCATCATTGCACAACCACCAGACAGCTGCACACCCAGCGGGATTCGGGCGGTAGGACGTAGGGCTGCAGCCGGGGCTAAGAGGAGATGAGGGTGTGGGATAGTTGGGCGTTCGCAGGTCTTTGCTTTTCTGGGAGTGACATAGGCTGGTAGGTTTGTCTGGCACTTCTCCCCTCCCCCATACCTTGCCGGCCACTTGGCGGGCCTCAGCCGCCCCGTCCCCCATAGTCCCAAACAACATCAGCTTGCATATCCCCGCCCCCTCTCGTCTCCCATTTCCTCCTCGACGCATGTATGTCGTAACGTTTCCCAGCAGCTCCATAGCCCATTAGCAACAATTGTTACAGCTAAAATTAAGCACGAGGCGTCACACCGCATATACACACATACACACATACACACATACACACACGCACGCACACCTGCACGTACACACACACATACGCACCAGAGGGAAAGCAGACATACAGAGAGAGACCAAGCAGGTTCCACCCGACCGACCATGTTCTTAAGATAATAATGTGCACATGTCTGCCATCCCAGTGTCTGAACTGGGCCTCAACTCGAGCGAGAGCAGATATCTCCAGCAGCAAATTGCCGCCTCACAGCAAGGCTCCAATTCGTCGCGCGCTGCTTCTCACGCCTCTAGCCAGGGCCGTCTCCTCCTGGATCCTTCTAGTTTGCAGGCGCTCAGCGCCCATTTTGATCGACTGATGTATTCGATTCAGCAGCGCTGGCAATACGTGAGTTTCTCGTTCTCTTTCCGCCTTCCTCCGTCTACATTGTAGTAGGAATGGACAGCATATCCAGCAGTATACATAGACGTTCAAAGCTAACAGCCACTACTCCAGCTCACCCAACAGACCCAAACAGCAACCCAAATGCAATATGACCGCGCGGGCAACGCAATGGCAATAGCCGACGCGGAAATCGCCCGCTTCCGCGCCATCCTCCGCGAAATCGACGAGCTCGAGGTCGAATTCGACAAGGTCCGGCGCATTGGCGAAATCGTAAAAGGCTTCAAGGCCCGCGTGGATCGCCTTGATCGCCGCATATAAATCTGGGGGACCCCCTCCCTAAACACCGAAACATGTCTCGGCGATCCCCACCACCCCACATCTTTCTTTTCTCTTTGGCCTTCAATTCAGTCTCGCATACTATGCCGAGATTATAAAACAGACTACCCAATGTCCTCGCGGACGCAACCGGATATTTCCTATCCCATATGCCTCTTTTGTTAAACTGGAATGCCTCGCGGCTACTAGGCGTTTTTTTTTCTGGCTTCCACTTCGGCTTCCAATTCTAATTCCTTTTGTAACTTGCTACTTCTTTTTTTCTTGCCAGGAAAATACCACCGACTTCTTCCTTTGCCTTTCTCCGAATTATATCGATTATTCGCGTCCTTTATCGTACAAACTCGCAATTCCTTTTCTTCGTTCTCTGATTACCAGCATCCAAGGGCTGTAGATCAGGTGCAAGACGCCACCCAGGATCGACGCTGCAGGAACCACCATCACAACCACCCTCCTCCATGGCCTCGGTTTCCTTATTTCCGTGCAAAGAAGTCTTGCTAGCTAATTTAGCTTCTTTCGTCCATATTTTATGTGCATCGCTATTCCCCTTGTCTAGTGCCTTATGCTTTTCTCGCTTTAGCTATATGTACGTAGTTTGTAGTTGACATGTCTGCAGCACCAATTGCGAATAGACCTCTTCTTTTTCAGCCTACATTACTCCATTGATGACTTGTTGTGTCCTGCGTGAAGTTACATATTCCTTTCACAGCCGCTGCCTGGCTTCCACGCAATCCCGAAGATATGTTGCGCAAAAAGATATACACGCCCAACACCACACATTCCGTGCCACTACCTACTACAACAGATCATCCCAGCATGACCAGTTCAAGCCATGAAACAAAAAAACCTGATCGCGCAGAAAGCAAAAAAGAACGATGATGACAAGAGTGGGACTCGAACCCACGCAGATTTCTCTACATGAATACTTCCTTACAAAGTAGGGAAAGCTTTTTATTCGCTTGAGTCATGCGCCTTAACCGCTCGGCCATCTTGTCGGATGATCTTGTGATGAAAGACAGACTAATATTTTATTTAATATACTCGTCATTCAAAAAGAATCCAAAGTAAATTGAGGAGCGATGATAGCTGTGTCTAGATACGGTATAGCGTATTCTAGCCCCACATCTGCAGACTAGGAAACGTGCTAGGCCCTTTTTTCTCCAAGACTAGGACAGGGTAGTGATATGGTTTATCACGGATGCAGATGCGGAATAATCTCGGGTAGCTATAACGTAAACAAGAGGTGTAACTATACGGATATTCCGAAGAAATTGTGATTTATCCTGGGGGTTTTTTTGCACGTGGCAAAATCAAAATGTCCCTTGCTGCAAGGTTTTTATTCGAAGCGGGGGGTTTTTTTCCATGTGCGCGCGGGGAATATTCTTTTTACATACATATACATATACATATGCGCAGGGTACCGATGAGGAGATAAAAGGATTTGGTAAAGGGGAAGGATGACGGGAGGAGTGCATTGCATTTAGCTTTTTTGGTGCACGAGGTGGATGAGGGGTGGCGAGGGAGAGTGCGTGTATGAGTGTCTACACTACATGTGAATGTGAGGGATCACTACTACTCGAATTTTCTTTTGCTGAAAGAGCGTGAAACATGAACATCCTCTGATGTTTGCGACAGGGTGAAGTGGCCGGTCGATATGATTTCCGTTTCTTCCACGACAGAGATCGTGACGACGTTAAGGTTGTCGGGACCAAGTGTGGTATAGTAGATAGGATATATATGTCCACCCCTTCTACATATACAAAGGGAATAAAGGCGGTAATATCGGTGCTAGGTATCCGCTTGTTATAGGCGTTGTAAGGCAAATGTAACATGGGTTTTTCCATCCGGTGAGCTTTATCTGGAAAGTTTGTTCGTCTCTTTATACTGCGATGCGACGATGTTCGTTGTTTACAAGAAACAAGGTGGTTCAAACGCAAAAATTGAAGGTCATGTGCTCCTCCTCCTGTCATGCCGCGGGGAGCGCGATAGCAAGTGTGTGTGAGTGGATACTTGCTTCACATACTGTATGTAATGAGGCTGGCAAAAAACGGGAAACCCACACGATGTAGTAGCACATAAATCATCTAACCCGGATCTACGCTCCCGACTTGCCGTGAGGACCATTCTCGCTTTCGCAAGACCTCGCACTATCATGCCAATTTTTTCTTTGATCTTGTTTCTTCTTCTCTTGGATGGCTAGGCAATCATACTACCCACTATCCCTTGCTACCTTACACCCCCTCCCCTTCTACCCCCGTCCACACGCGATGACGTCGACAGCGCGCGCACGCACCGAACCTTCCTTTTTTCCTTCCCACATACCGAATACCCGGTTTCAGACAAAATCGCGAACAACTGAGAGTGCAAGCGCACCTTGCAAACCCCCCACGCACGCCACCGGTTAATGCCAAGGTATAATACGTACGTATCTCGCTTTCCTATATCCCCACGCTTGCACACCCCCTTCCCCCATGTCCACTACCCGGCACACCGTTCCCCGGTTCCGACGACGCCCATCGCGCACGACAACATCGGCGATACGCCAAGGAACCTGAGTATGATATCGGGGGCAGAGTGCGAAATCCACACCCACAACCCCACTAATTACCTCACCTCACCTTCATGATGGGCAGTCGAGTGGGTTTGGCCAAGTGCATTGCGGTGCGCCATGAGAAAAGGCGTCGGGTTGCCATGCATGTTCCCAGTTGCGCCCCCGGGCGGCCTGGCCATTCTGGGGGCTGGGGGGGCTTAATCTATCCCCGGACGGGAGCTTCCCGATGGCAAGCGTTCGTTTGCGTCGATAAATTGGTGTGAGAGGGGTAAGGGGTGCAATACAGTGTGCAAACAAACCGTTGTGACACGGGAAAAAGATGGAAGATGGAAGGAAAAGGGAAAAGTAAGGTTGGTGGCAGGCGGAAAGGCGGGTAGAGATGGGAGTGGAGCTATCTTTATTGGAAACTAGCATACATCTCTCTTTTCTGTGAAAGCGTGTGTGTGTCGATGAAGATAACGTGATGGTGCGCTTGCCAGACTGATCCCGAGGTGCGTGATGGAAGTCACTCGACGATCCGTACATGCATATGTATATCAAAACTGTGTACGATCTAGGGCGTTTTTTGTGAGAGACACAGATAAACGGAGGTATCCAAGCGATCGATAGCGTTTCAGTTTCCAGCCGTCGTCCAGCTCCGAGAAAGGGAGAGAGAGAGAAAGGGATACAAGAATATAATCTTACGTGTAACGACACTAGTGTTCCTGTAGCGTTATCGCATAAAATTACGGGTTTTTGTTGAATGGATGAAAAGATGATGATGCATTCTTATGTTTAAGCTTCGAGCATCAGTCTGTGTGCGATAGAGTTTTGGTGTAATAATGGGGCGATATTATTGATGAGGTAAGATTTGTCTGCTGTGATGTGCCGAGGCTCTGGGACTTCATATTGCTAAATGTAGAAAAAAAAAGTGGATTCTATTAGAAGAAAAGTTTGCAAAACTGTTTTGTGAATGTGTGATTATTGAAGTAGTGATGAATAAAAATATCTACATAGTAAACTATTCAAAGAGAGAGCGACGTCGCTTCCAATCCAATCTACACAAGCCCATGTACAAAGCCTTCTAAAAAAAAAGGAAAAACATATTATGAGAGAACGTGAAAGATGATGTAGTAATGCAGGAAAGACACCTCCCCTTCTTCCATCTAACCCGCGCTAAGAACGAAACGAGCAATCCTTAAAAAGGAAATAGCTTACAAAGAGCCCCTCATAAGGAAAAATTCCACCATTATGGTTTTCGGATACTCAACCCACCCCCCTGGCCGATCATTTCAGCCCTTCCCTTCACCACATTCCCTGTTCCAGCTCAAACCGTGGGCACGACGTAATCTTTTTTACTTTCACCTTCCTCGGCCGCTTTCGCAATCCTCACCTCAGCACTTGAGGGTTCACACTTCCAAACCAAAAAAAGAAAAACAAGGAAATCACAGATGTTGAAATGTTAAAAGTCCCACAGGGTGCCAAAAGCATGCATACCCTCCTGTGCACAACCCTGCATCATCTCATCGTTGCCTTGCATGTTGCTTGTGATGAAGATGACCTCGGCGCCGAAGCTCTTCCACGTATCGCGCAGTAGAGCCATGGTGTCCGGGCGACCGCCTCGCTTCTTGCTGTCCCACAGAATCATGCGCTCGGGCTCGATGTGCTTGTGGATCAGGCCCGTGACGGTGGGTCCAAATGTGCGCTCCTGGTCTGAGCCGATCCAGATTAAAAACCAGTTGGGCGATTGGATGCAGGTTGAGAGCGCAGCGCCGATGCCTGTGCCGGTGCAGATGCGAATGCCTCGCTTGAACATGGCGGAGGCGTGTCCAGGTCCCGCTGTCAGTCAAAAGTATCGTCGTTAGCTGTCGCTCATGTGTATGTGGGGCCTTATTAAGGTTTTTGGGGGAAGCAAAAATAGTATTACATACCGAATTTCAATTGCCGTGTCCAGACGGTTTTCGGCGGGTTGGCAACAAGGCCTCTGGTGAAGTCACCTTGCACACCGCAAATCATGTAATGGCAGTCCGACTTGCGTCCTTCGCTGATGATACCAAAGGCGTGGTATTCCATGATGGATGTGCGGCTGATACGGCCTAGGAGACCTTGCTGCATGCCGCGCTCGAACTTGAGAACGGCTACTTTGGGTGAGGGAATTTCAACTTCGACGGGTACTTCGCGGAGTGTGACCCAGGGAATGAGGATGCTGCCAAATGTTAGTCATGGGAAGGGTTTTGGGTTGGAGTTAGACCTACAAGACTGTCATGAAGACAGCAAACCAGAGTTCTTGTGAATTGAGAAGACTGTGAGCGTCGCTTCTCCACTCTCCACGCTTGATGTCGTAGGTGTTTCCCATGATCACGAAAACCCATGTCATCTAGAGCATGTTAGTGCCCATCTTGTTGAAAAGACATGTAGAATCACATACTGCAAGACCTAGCCATCCAACAAAGCGGTGGTGTCTCTCAAAAACGTTGTGGTAGGTGCTGCATAAAGTGTTAGTACGGTGGCATAGAAGCAGGCTTGGCTCCATCAACTTACTTTCGTACCCAGGGGAATGCGCTCAAGATGGAGATTACAATGAGCACGTTCGTGATTATACCGCTGACAATGACGGCAGGGTGTTGCACAGCGCGGTACTTGATGATGTCGACAATCTTATAGACGAGCCAACTGTGTTGACCATTAGTCACACCCCTTATTCCAAAGTGTAGTATAAACCTACGCAGCACCAGATAGGGCGCATCCAGAGTGAATACCTCCCACATGTTGGAGTATGGAGACCACTGCTAACTTGACGGGAATCGGTGTCCACTGTTCAGACGGGTCAGTGATGGGTGTTTGAGACGGGAGGCACGGATGGATACATACGCTCAAACCATATATGGCAACCATGTATAGGAAGCGCATCCAAAGCTCATTTCGCATTAAGATTGCACAGAGCAAATTGCCTAACACTAAAGCACCGAGATGGTTTTCGGCATAAGGGAAGTGGTTAGTTGCTGCGCAAATGATGCCCACGAGGTTCAGCACGACAACGAGTGTGAAGAACTTTCGGTACGTGTTGAACCAGAGCTTGAACAGAATCCAGCGACTGATCTTGGGCTTTTTTGGCTTTTCCGTAACCATCTCTTTGACTGTAGCCTTGGGCTTGTTATCGGTAGGCTTTTGTCCGCCTGCTCCCAGATTCAGATCGGGCACGCTTGTGCATGGTGTTATACCCTGGTGTACAGGAGAGACTGGGCATGACGATAGGCTGGCTAGCGAGAAATCGGGTACGCTTGCACGGGGTGTTATGCCGTGGTGTACAGGAGAAACTGGGAATGATGGTGGGGGAGCCAGTAATGCCCTTTTCGGGTCTATGTACACAAACCCAGGTGCTGTCGACTTGAGTGCGCTATCACACAGGCCCTTTTCCGCACTGTCGAGCGAACTCAGGCTGTTCCTATCGACAACCGAGCTGGTTGGTGTGAAGGACATTGTGCAAGCACACGACTAAGACACCAAAGTTCAAAAAGGGGGGTATAGAGGCGAAAGACAATGAGACAGGGATGGCTTCTGCCAAATGTTGAAAGAGAAGATGATGTCCAGTGAGAAGAGATTGATAATGGTACTTTGAACGACAGGGCAGTCTTTGAAAGGGTACTTATGATGAGCCAGCCGCCAGCCGTACCCGCTCTATCGGGCTCCTGGATAGCCGCAACGCTACTCATCCACAATTGAGATATGGAGTATACGGTGCCAATTTCCGCAACCATGACCGCCACCTCTGCCGATGTGTGGAGCCTTGTCTTACTCGACTTTCCGCTGGCCCCGACATAGCATATTCTAAGCTGGCCAGGCTGGCGGACGGCGAAGCCACTTCCGGGCTCACCTCGTAAATCATGTTTAGTGGGGAGGGACGAACATCCCGGGAAGAGGCTAGGGTGGAACCTTCTACCCAACTATCGGTCGAGCGATATGTCCCCGCAAGTCCGATATAGAGGTCGGAAGATACCCCAGTCAGAAAGAAATCGTCATGGTGCGTCTGCTACTATGGTGGTACAGATATGTCGGCAGGCTAAGATCACGCGGCGTGTATGGCATATTGCAAAACTATATGACATGGTCAATGCGGCGTTTGTGTGTGACATTTCAACGTGACTACCAGGCGCAAGCGACAGGGACGTGCAGAGCAGAAAACATACGGAGGCGCAGAGCCTGAGGCTGCATTTGGTTGCATTGGCGACAGGGCCATATCGTCAGCTTGTGCCAAGATACCCTACGACAAAGTCTCTTAATCTAGCTATGATTGCGGAACCGAGGCTTAATCTCTAGTTCTTCACGTACAGATCGACGTACTCGTCGATGTCCATGTTGTCAAGTGTCTTACTATCTTGGGCCAAAGTGACGAGTTTGTCGACGTGGTCCGCCGGGTAATGCGGACCGAGGTGCCTCTTGTATTTGGCGAGAATCTCAGGCTTGGCCTCTTCACGTCGCAGACGGTGGCCAAGAGGAGCCTCAACTACTTCCTCATCCAGCACTGTGCCATCCTTGAGCGTGACAGTGAGCGCATTAGAGATGGTTCGCTTTTCTGGGTCATGGTAGTCCTTTGTGAATTGGGGGTCCTCAACACAGCTGATTCGCTGTCGCAGCGACTCAACTAGCGCTGAAGTCGCAGCCTCGCTATCATCTGGATAGTCGGTGGCTTCGAGGCGGTTGAAGACGAACATGGTGGCTACCATGTACTGCCACATGGTCAGCGTCAGACATGAGTCATCGAGTGTAAGCTTACCTGAACGCAGTGATCACGATCTGCGAAATTCTCCATGGGCTTGAACTGTTTATCGATGATCCGCACGCAAGCTTCGTGTGTCCGGTTTACCACACGTTCAATGTCTTCGGCGGTCTTACCCATGGCCTTTAGCTTCTTGTTGAGGCGCTGAGCGGCTTCGACGGCGGTTTGGGAGTGGAACTCAGCTGCCACTAGGATTAATTTGTGCTACGAAAAAGGAAAAGGATCCAACTGCAAACTCACCGGGATATGAGACCTTGAAGAGCACATTCTCCATGACGTAGCTGCCGTAGCCCCTTTGGAAGGTGAATGGCTTTCCACCAAAGTTGACGTCGTAGAACCCCCAGGTAGGAGCTGAGAGCACAGTGGGGAGACCTGGCTCCCCCTTCATGACCTTGAGTACGAGATTGACGGCCGTCTGGCAAGCGTCACCAGCAGCCCACGACTTGCGAGACATGGTGTTCGGCGAGTGCCTGTACGTGCGCATCGACTGACCATCGACAAAGGCCTGCGAGATGGCGTCACGCGTTTGAGCCTCGCTGAGGCCCATCATCTTGGATACGACAGCGGTCGACGCAAGCTTGACGAGAATGACGTGGTCCAGTCCGACCTTGTTGAACGAGTTCTCCAGGGCCATACAGCCCTGAATCTCGTGCGCCCTGATCATGGCTTCGAGCACATCTCTGACCTTGAAGATCTTTCCATTGCCGAGATTGCCTCCAGCCTTGTTGGTACGAGTGATCCAGTCGGCAGTTGCAAGAATAGCACCCAGATTGTCAGAGGGGTGGCCCCACTCGGCAGCTAGCCAGCAGTCGTTGAAGTCGAGCCAGCGGATCATGGCACCAATGTTGAAGGCGCCATTGATAGGATCAAGCTGATAGTTGGTACCAGGCACCTTTGTGCCATTGGGAACAACGGTTCCCTCGACGACAGGACCCAGAATGTTCCTGCATTGCTCGAAACGCAGACCCTCGAGACCACAACCCAGCGTGTCGATAAACACCCAGCGAGCCGTGTCATACTTTTCGACAACCGACGTTAGCCTTTATTCTCGACAGCGATGTTCACCATAGCTTACCGCAAGCTCTGAATCGATGGGAGTGTTGTGGATGTAGCTGGCCATGTCCTTGATTTCAGGATCATACTCGCGTTTGGCGAGCGCCTGCTTCACTTCGCTCTTGAGGGTCGTCATGGTGGAGAATGACGACGCAGCTACTGCTCTGGAGGTTATTGGCAGTGAGGGAAAAGCACGGAGAGCAATTGGCCTGGTGGCTCTGGTAACAACGCTGGCTCGCGATCGAAGGCTTCGTGAAGCGGTACTGCACAGGTTGCGACTGAAGGCCGACATGTCTGATTAGCTTCTGTCGTGCCGGACGACGTCAATGCAGCTCTGGAGAAGAGGGACAGTCGTACTAGGCGCTTTAGAGGGACTGGCTGGCTTTTGAACAGGTTCAGTGCACAGGTTGAGAACGCTCGGCTTGCAGAATTCGGGAGGATGGATACGCCGTCGTCAACCGAGGCTGAGCATATCCGTATGCCGCGCGCGAGTCGTGTTTCACGACGCCAACACAGCAGTAGATTTGACGGACAGAATGCAATTGATGCCTCTTCTTCCTCGCCATTACCATTGTGCTACTAGAGCTTGCTACATACATATTCATCCTAGGATCGCAGCCACTTTGCCGCACTGCACACCGGCGTGTTACCCCGCATCATTCTGCGGCTGCCTCAACTCGGCTACGCTACCCAAGCCCGCAAATCTAGCCCCCCACACGAACACAACCATCCGCCCAGACTCAAAAGCCGAGCATTGAAGAATATACATGCATTGAACATTCTTGGTATCAACTTCTCTTCCACTACTACTTCCACTACTACCACCATTGCCCCAACTAACTACGGCTCTGCACCCCAATCCTCTTCGTCCGCCATCCCCATCGCTATCGCTATTACAATTCCTTTCTTTTTGCAGACTGCCCTTCTAGTTCATCTTGCACTCTCCTCACCAAATCATAACTGCATACAGCCAATGGGCCAGCCATGCAACAGCCTCTCGATGATTCGGCGCTTTGCGTAGGGATTGGATTTGGATATGAATGAGCTGTTGAATGGCTTTATTTACCAGTCATCCTTGTCCGACTCGTCGTCTGTAGAAACATTAGCACATCATCATAATGCCGCCTAGGAGTATAGTCAACTTACCGCTGTGACTAACTTTCGACTTCCGCGCTGCAAGTGCACTAGCCAATGCATTAGCTAGGCCAGCCTCTCCACCTGGAGTCGAGCCGCCTCCTGAACCACCTGGGGGCTCTTTTCCAGGCACTGCTGCCCCACTGCGATCCTTCTTCTCTGTATCCGAAACCTTCTTCAATCTTGCTCCTCCACGAATATCTGCTAACAAGCCACCCCTGCCAGCTGGAACCTTGGGCAAAGACGCACCGCCTGGTGGTGGAGGGCCAGGTGGTGGAGGAGGCGGTGGAGCTGGGGGCCCACCCATTGGAGGCAATGGAGGTGGAGGTGGTGCGCCGCTGTTGGGCATAGGCGGAGGTGGCGGTGCACCACCGCTAGGCATCGGTGGAGGGGGTGGAATTGATCGTCCTGGCATCGGCGGCGGCGGCGGCGGCGGAGGCGGAGGCGCAACATTGGACGTCGGTGGTAGCGGAGGTGGAATTGGTGCTGCTCCTGACGGCGGAGGAGGCGCAGGACGCGAGGCGGACGGTGGTAGCGGCGGCGGAGGCGGTATGTTGTGAATCGGCGGTGGAGTCGGTGCAACTGAGGTTTTTGGAGGGAGTGGTGGGGGAGGCGCTGACGGAATGTCTCTCGCTGGGGGAGGTGGCGGTACTGGTCCTCGGCTTGGAGGAGGAGGTGGTGGCCCTGAAGGTACGCGATTGCCTGTGAAAGGCGGAGGCACGCCGAACTTGGCTCCACCTGATCTCTCCTCGTCGGGCACGGGTGTCTTTGGCGGTCGAGGCGGTGGAGGAGGACCCGGGTTCGCTGCATTGGACGAGGCTCGCGCTCGGTTTGGTGGTGCAGGAGCCTGGTTTGCAAACTTGCCTGCTTCTGCAATTGGCGGAGGCGCTCTGAAGACTGGCTTGGGCGGCCCTGGGGGAGGTGTAGCTTCTCGAGTTGGCGAGTGTGGCGCTGGGCTTTGCGACGAGGTTCGGTTGGCAGATGCATCGTGTCGCGTGCGCCGGGCTGGTGGAGGCTGTGGTGGAGGCCCGCGTTTCGATGTGGTTGTGCTGCCCGTATGCTGGGGGCTGAGGGGCGCACCCGGCGGAGGTGGCGGAGGAGGAGCCCTGGATCGGCGCTGGTTTTCGTCTTTGAGCTTCTCTTCTGACTTCCTCTGCTCAATGTACAGTTTAATGAAGTCTGCGTTCTCTTCAATCTGGTCCTCTGTGATCCCCATGGCTAACAGTTCCTTGAGTAAGGGCTGCCATGAGGGGTCTGTGGTATCGATCGCGGAGCTTCGTGCGCTGGTTGCGTTGGAATGGCTGCTTTGCACGGGCGAGGTGACAGAGGGCGGAATGATGGAATGCGCAGGCGGAGCTGCGTGGGAAGAACTTCGGTGTCCAAAGATACCGCCCAAAAGGCCATGGCCATGGCCGCCGCTCTTTCCGTTTGTTGAAGCTATACTACTGCCCACGGTCGCGCTAAAGGGCTTGCTCTTTGTGTTCTTGTGGGCGTTCTTCTCGCGATCGTCGAGCTTCTTCTTAAATGTCCGGGCCTCCTTCTCATCGGCAAAGGACAGGCCGGCCAGACAGTCCTCGAGCTCAAAGGTGTGGAAGAAGACGCGGTCCTGGTTGTAGGAGAAGGGGTCGTAGATCTCCTGGTCCCAAATGACGCCTCTGGTTTGGGGCTGCCTGTGTCAGTCTGAGGCATTTTAGGTGGAGTTGGCGGAGCGTACCGATATGTCGACCATCTTGAGCCAGAAGGTATTTCCGACCAGGTCGTTGGCCAGCACAACGGCACCCTGCAGGCCCGTGTAGGTCCATCGGTGCCGGTCGGGGTAGGCGATATACAGCTTGGCGACGGCGACGGCGTGGATCTTGTTGCCAGACTTGGGGACGGTGCGCTTGACCATTTGCTTGTCCTCATCGGACAGAATGGACGGCATTGTGGCGGGGGATTACAAGTGGTGTATGTTGGCGGTGCAGAGGGTGTAGACGGTGTAGAGTCCTACAAGCTTGGCTGGTCGAGGGCAGCCGTCGGGCGCTGCTGTGGTCCCTTCAGTGGGGGGCGTGGTCCTCGCGCAAGAATACTCAGGCGGCACATGTAGCAGCCAGCAGTCGCCGTATGTGTTGCCCGACAGTGAAGTGCTTTGTGGGCGAAGAATATGACGGCAATGTCGAGACTGCCACGGTGGTGTGTAGAATACGGTGGAGCCTGGCAATGGGGAGACGTCAGACCTGAGGGCGCTGATGCCGCAAGCTAGTCGGTACCATCCCGACCACGCGGGAGCCTAACCAACCACCACGAAACCCATCCAACGACCTCGTCGCTCAGCTGGAGGAGGAAACGCTGGCGTCCATCTTGGCTCAGGGACGAGCGACACGCACATCAATGGGTCTGGGAAAAGGACGCAGTTCCAATATGCGCGCCACATCATCTCTTTAGCTTGCGCACACGACATCGCAGAGCCTTCTCTCCCAATGCTATCTAATTACACACCAAGACGCAGCCCAAGATTGCCCTCGGCTTCCTTACCTTTTCGTCTGCGACCCAGTATTCCAAACCAGGTTGGTTGCACTATAAATTCAATTGTCATGCAAGAAGTATCCACGCTTCCGACACGGTGACGTAGCCCTCTAGGATATACCCAGAGAAAAAGACCCGTGGGGGCCAGGCTCTCTGCCATTGAGTATACGTACTCTACACCTCACTCGCTGCTGCATTGATCCTGGCTGTGCACGTTATTAGATAAGCTCCCGAGGGAAGAGAACACCACCTTTACACGCACACGGACCGCTCTACCTGTCTGGCCCCCATGTTTGTGGTCGCCTAGAGCGCCACCAACGCCGACCTGCCGACTTGGTTCAGCTGCACAAGGCATCCAGCCATGATAACCTGCTTGCATTCGGGGCCCACACAGGTGGTGTGAGCAGGAGTGAACCTCGCGGTACCGACACGGGAACCACTCACCAAAAAACGCCACATCTTTGCCCGACATACTCGACAACCGACTGACCATGGACGACTTGCTCGAGGGCTATATGGTGCTTGACGCAATAGGCGACTTTCTTGACGACCGCTCTCTGACCAATCGCACCAAGCAGCCAGCAACAACACCACAGTCGCAGCCTGGTGCACAAACCTCTACCGGCTCGCCCACGCCCATATCTGGTCCAGACCAGCATAGCCAAGGGTACGCCCCTCGTTGGGTTCTCGTGACCGAACTGCCTGTAACCATGTCCTCGATCTATCTAACAGACACAGTGAGGCCCCGAAAGGCACGCGAAAACGACGAGGGCACAACAAGAGCCGTCTAGGCTGCACCGCTTGTAAGAAAAGAAAAATAAAGGTATTCCTTCTCCACCCGAGTAACCGTTCGTGACCCTGAAAGTTGTTGCGTAGTGCCAGGAGACATGGCCGTCCTGTGCAAATTGCGACAGGCGTGCGCGTAGGTAACCTATCGGTTGCTGAGCTGCATCGTGACTGAACACCAAATAGTCGTCTGCAGGTACCCAGATGTATTCAAACATGCACAGCACGAGCTCCCCAAGCCCAAGCCGCCGAGTCCACGCCAGATTGTCCAGCTGTCGGATAAGCCCATCATGTATAGTCCAGACGATATGCAACTCTTTCATCACTACCTCACTGCCGCATATCCTTGCATTCCAGGCAATAACGAGCAAGTCTGGACTCGGCATATTCCTCTCCAAACTTACCAGGTATTTACACCTTGTACCCACTGTAGACGCCAAGCATCCACAGTCGCTGATTGGCTTAGTATCCTTACCTTATGAATGCTATGCTCGCTTTAGCAGGATCACATCTTGCCATCCAGGTCGAAAACCCAAACAACCGCCTGGCACTCCGGCATAGACAGGATGCCATTGTAGGACTAGAGGATGCTTTTGCTCGGTGGCCGCCGTCTCCAGATGAATCTCACGTCATGTTTGCAGCATCCTTCTTGTTATCCCTGCAATGCAGTTACCTGAACGACGGCTTCTTAGAGCACTTCATCTCCTTGAGAGGGTGCTCCTTGCTTTCTCAAATCATCGTCGCCGAAGAGTTCAACGGCCCTTTCGTAGAGCAAACAGGCGTAGACCTAATACCCGTCGACACGGCAACATACCAATACTTTGGGGTCGGTCAAGATATCCTTCGTGAAGCCTTGCTATCCCTCAAAGGGTTCTCAAAGTTCATGACCCCAGATATCCACCCCATTGAAAAGGCCGTTGTCAGACAAACCGTACAAACACTTCGATATCTACTTTGCCCTAATGTCCAGCCAGAAGGCAGAGAAACTACAGTGCCAGATACTGAAGGCACCACCGACCCTTCGCAATCGACCGACCCCCCGAAATCAGTCGCTTCCATGAACCCCTTACTCCCATCCAGCATGGCAGACGTATTCCACGAGATTGACTGGGACAATATCACCACAGCGCCCGCTGGCTCCCCTTCCCCACTTCGCTCCTTCCAAGGAATGATGGCAATCCTGACCATATTCGCTACCTGGCCCCAAGAGGCCCTCGTCCACATCTTTGACTCAAATAATCGCCTCGGCAACATCATCCTGGCGCACTTTTCCGCCATCCGCTTCATCCTCGCGCCAATGACGGCACAGCAGAGTGCACTGCGGACCCCGACACGGGCAATTGTACAGTGGTCAGTCAAGATCATTGCTATTGTTGATGAATATGATAAAGGCGGAGAGTGGTCCAAGTACGTGGAGTGGCCGAGGAAAATTCTCAAGTGCGTGGAACTGTGTCTTGAGAAACATAGGGGGTTCACCATAGGCGACGTACGAGATTTGTTTTTACGTGATCCCGGTGCTTTCAAGGAGGGTCGAGCACCAAGGATTTGAGAAAAAAATCTGGAACTATATACATGTATATATATATATATTTTTTACAAAATCCACATCTGCTCCCAAATCTTACACATTCCTCATTTCCCTCACCACATCGTCGCCCCAATCCTCTCCAAACACACCGGCTCCACAACTCTAGCCTGCGCATCACACTCGCACCCACAACCACCCCTTTCTTCCCCACAAACCTGCAACCCCCCATGCACATACCCCCAATCACTAAACCAATGCAACTCCCCCGGCTCCAACAACATGGCAACCGCCAACGAATGCACCGCCGCATCCCCCCACCGCTCATAATAAAACCCACCCTCGCGATCCAAGAAATCGAATAACGTGGTATACGCCTCACCCCGAAAAAAATCCAAATCCCCAATCTCGAAATTCGACCAAAAGTGACACATGTTCCACAAATCACCCTCCGCGTTGCGATTCCGCAGCCATGCCAGCGCGGGGCGTAGCGGCCATGGTGCAAAACTCGGGTCGTGCAGTGCGGTCCAAAGGGGAGACGTCTGAATCGCGCGTGTGGTCTTGTAGTCTGAGAGTTTGCGGAAAAGGGAGGGGACGGTCTTGCCGCGTTCCCAGAGGGCGATGGTATAGGCGTAGCGTTTTTTGTTACGGCGCATGTGCGAGAAGGGGTCGTAAGGAATGGCGCAGGTGAAGGAGATGGAGGGTTCAACGCGCCAGTAGTATTTGTAAGGGAGGAGGGAGGGGTGTTTGTAGAAGAAGCTGCGGAGGGGAAGGGAGTGGGGGTTAGAAAGGGAGGTTATTTGGTGTTGAGGGTTTGTTGGGATTGGGGGTGAAAAGTGTACGTACCCTGATTGAAAACGACACATGTGGTGGTATTCTTCTTTGGCGGCATATTGAATATCGTCTTCTTGCATGGCCTTCATGGTGCGTCTTGCGCGGTCTTGATCGATCCACGAAGGGAATCCCCACATGGCCTTTGGTATAGTGCTGAATTCCACACTTACGCGCCCCATGGCGGATGTGTTTTGCACTGCTGCACCAACTTTCTCTTTGAACTCTTCGCTCCATGGCTTATCGTTGAGAAAGACCCATGGGTACCCAAAGTGATCATTGAACTGCTTCTGTGTGCTGCGCACGCTGGCTACCGCGCCACTGACTTCCGAGTTGCGGGAAAGCATAAGCAGGACGGCATTTTCGCGCGCCGTCGTATTCGCCACGGGGTTCTGGCAGCCTGTGTGGAAGGGGGCGTCGAGGGGGCGTGAAGGGCGGGTTATGGTGAAGCTGTGGATGTGGAAGAGGACTTCGAGGAGCATTAAGAAAGCAATGACCAAGATCGCTTTCCAATGTGATGAAAGTGCGCGTAGCAAAGGGCGTAGCGGGCGCCGTGGTGGCGGCCAGATAGTGAGTTTGTACATTAGAGTAACGAGACAAGGCTGTCACATCATGGCAGAGGCTCGTGGAGAGGAAACAGGAGGAAGGAATGGGCATTCCACGGAGGGATGCAGAGGGATGTGTTCAAGTTTTCCCATAGTAGTCAACCTGCATATATCGGGGCCATACGAGTGGCACAGTTGCAGTATAGCCCCATCTGGCCAGGCTGTATGGAGAAAAGGGGACCTGCGTAATCAGACCTTGTTCAACACAATCCTTCTACATTCACCCAATATTGCTCCATCTTATGGCACTCCAAGTAGATAGCAGCAAAACCGAACTGGACCGCGTGCGTTAGTACATCTTAAACTCGCTCATTTTCCAGGAGAAGAGGGAAAACAGCGTTGCACTTTGTCGAGATTCTAGGTAGCCTTCCTTCCTTTGTCGAGGCTGTGCCACACCGTTTTGCGGCGTGGTTGTTTGAAAGTCCTGAAACACTACTAGTGTCGATTAGGTAATTGGTATGGATCGGCGCCATGAACATCATTCCATGATTGCATATCATCTTCCGATCTCTTGGCCGCAATTTTTACTGGATACGTGTTGCCAATAGTCACAATTGTTAGTTAATACCCGGGAAAAATGCATTCTGAGACTGAGAGATATGTCTGAGCTGGGGTGTCTCTCGAGATTGTCATTCTTCTCTACCAAGTGATGATTAGCAGAAAAAGGAAGTGCGCGACCATAGGTCATCAGGACTGCCATGACCAGATGTGCTCCAGCTCATCAAACGGCAATCTTGTTCATTCTGCTGATCCTCAATAATCTAGTTGCATCTTTAGTCAGTCTTCTTTCTTATCCGGCCCCGCAGTTCCTCGAAGCTTATTCAAGTTGAACGTCGTTGTGAAATAGAAATCCAGGGCTGCGGTCGGCAGATAAGTCCACGCGAACCATACAATCCAGCTCATCTTACCCTCCCATATCCATCTTGTCTTGCTGAACAAGCCGTCGCCAGCGAGGACCTGTTTTACACAGCTGCGCGCATACTGCTTGGTGTCCATGCCGAGCTCTTGGCTATGCTTGAGTCTTCTCTGGTACTCTGCCGCCAGCGGCTGCATATATGAGCCAGGCGGTAGCGTGCGATCTTGACGCGCGATATTTGATTTCACGCCGCCCGTGACAACAGTGATGACGCGGACGCCCAGCGGCGCAAGTTCAACGCGTAGAGTGTCGGAATACGCGTGTAGCGCCGCTTTGACAGCGTTGTACGGCGCGCCCCATACATACGGCATGATACCTGCTAGCGACCCCGTCTGCACGATTATGCCTCTTGCTTCTATGAGGAGTGGAGCAAAAGTGCTGCACATTTTCATGAGGGAGAAGAGATTTGCTTGAAAAAGCTCGTGCAGCTCGGCTTCGTCATAGTCTAGTGCGGGTACGACATAGTTGCGGCCTGCGTTGTTGTAGAGGATGTCGAGTTTGCCTCCGGTAATTTCGGTCACGCGTTTGTGGAGGGACGCGATGGAGTCGTTACTGGTGAGTTCTAGGGGTAGATAGGTTATCCGGGGGTCGGGGGAAGGGTATTTGGCGGGATCGCGGACGGTGCCTAGCACGTGGAAGCCTTTTTTGGTCGTCAGCGTTGAGTTGTGGATGTGTATATACGTATATGCGTAAGTATACATTCAGAGTGCTTGGCATACCCCTCTGAGCGAATTCCAGGGCGAGGTAGTGCCCAATGCCGCCGGGCGTGCATCTGTTCGCGTCAGCGTTGCTTTTTTCCTCGTTCGCTTATGCGGGAAAAACGCATTGTTGCAGTGCCACACACCCTGTGATCAGCGCATACTGTGGCCTCGTGTTTCCAGCCATGTTTTGCTTGGAGTTTTGGTTGTCTTGCAAATGTATGTTTGTATGCGTCAGACCGTGGTAGCGCTCCAGATCTCTCATATGCTCTAGTCCCACTTTTTCGGCGGTTCCCTTCATAGCGCGTCGACGTCATCGCCGCACATCCGCGGACTTCTTTCTCACAAGCACCTTCGCGTCCTTAATTGCTATGCTATCTTGCTGACACTAATGCCTGACTAACCGCTGCTATTCATCTTTGCAAAAAATACGTAGAACCTCGTCATTCTTTCTACGTATCAACCTTTCATCAATTGTTGGGTTACACCCTTGACAGATAATACAGCTGAACGAAGCCCTGGTCCTGAAGAGTCTATCTGAACATCAGCATTTTCCTATCTCTCTCATTATCATTTCTATCACATATCCACAGCAAGCCATCATGACGTCTGCAGGTTGGTTGGGACAAGTTGTCCCTACCCTTCTCCGCCCATCTATACTCTTATGCATATCAGCATATCGTACGACATACTACCCTATTCTATCCCTAGTCAACAGGTTCTGACAGCGGCACAGATTTTGTCATGACAATGTTCGAAGTAGTTTTCTATGAGTGGAGCCCATTCACCCTATTCAACATCAACAAACTGCGGTTCAAAGCCTTCGCCCGCCTTTGGAAGCACAATGGCGAAGCAATGTCCACCGAGATGCCCGGCCCTACTTTTGAACTCCTCTCCCAGTGCAAAGGCGTGATTCTCGACGTTGGCCCTGGTTCGGGAGAGGTACTGTCTCGCTTCGATGCGAATCTCATTGTCGCAATCTACGGCGCTGAGCCCGCCGAGGACCTACATCCTGGACTTCGAAAAAATGCCGAAAAGAGCGGCCTAAGGAGCAAATACCATCCGATGCTTTGCGGTGCTGAGCCTGAAAGTCTGATCCCTGCATTGCACAAGAGTGGCATTTTGGACGTTAGTGGAAAAGGAGGCTTGGCGTCTGACGGAGTGTTTGACGAGATTTGCTGCACGCGCGTACTTTGCAGTGTGCCTCATCCAGAACAGACCATCAAGGGCCTCTACAACCTTCTCAAACCTGGTGGCCGAATGGTAATCTGCGAACATGTCGCCAATCCGTGGAGAACTCAGGGTAGTGTCGCGGCGCGCCTCATGCAACTAGTGTACACCATCATTGGCTGGTCTTTCTTCATGGGCGGATGCGAACTCCAGCGACACACATTAGAATACCTGAGAGATGCTGGAGAGTGGGACAAGTTTGACTTGAAATACTACGGTCCCAAGGATTGTATCCCTTTTGTTGTTGGTGAACTGATCAAGAGGCATGGCGAACTGGACAAGAGCTATGCTCAAGTTATCAAGGAGTAGTTTGAGGGGTGTTGTACATAGTGGATGGGCTATCTACAGTCCATGGGTGATAAATTGTTTGGAGATACTTACATCAAATCATACCAGGTCAGTGGAGCACCTTTTTGTAGGAAGCCTTTCCGATGAGTTGTTTACAGCAATAAAGTGTACATTATAGTTAAGATTAACTATATCTTATTATATGCATAACGTTTGTACATATCTAGCTCTATGAGAGACACACCCAACGTTTGAACGTAATGGACACCCTTATCTATCTGACAAAGAAACCGAGAGCCATAGCCAACAAAGTGACCCCTAAGTTCTGGCTTCCGAAACTTCCCACAGCAGCATTCGCAGTTTGCTCGGCCGGACTCGCAGTCGACGACGCGCTAGTACCCGCTTCCCCATTTACGTTCGATACAGGAACAGTAGCAATGCCCGATGGTGCCGGTGCCTGGGAAGGAAGAGCCACAGGCGAAGAGACGCCTGAGCTTGCTGGTGCTCCTGAAGGGCTCGGTCGTGGGCCAGATGTACCATTGTTCTGTCCTCCAGAGCCACCCGGAGCTGAAGAAGGCGAAGCCGACGCGACCGGAGAACGCGAAGCAGTACTTGAAGGTGTTCCCGCACTGGGCGTACCTGTTGGGCTCGCTGCAGCACTAGTCGCACTGCCCGCCGCACTGCTTGCTGGCGCAGCTGATGGTAGATTATCGGGCAATGGATTTGCATCTCCACCCTCGCAGTTCGCCTCGCCTCCGAGCTTCACTACCATTCCTACACCCGCCATCGCGTCCCGGAACCCATTATCGTCCTGGAACTTCTTGATATCAAACGCCTCGTTTTCTCCTGGCACTTTCAAATCGGTGATTTGCCGCCGTCCGGGGTTAGTGTACATCAAAAAGGTGTACTGTCTGTTGTCGCCTGTCTCGCCGACAGAGCCTGGGGCAACGTAGTCAACGGCCGGCGCGGTATCGGTGGCGATATTGGTAATATCGAAGTTGTTCTTGAAGTTTGCGCGAGCATAGTGTAATTTACGGGCGTTGGTACATGTTGTGTCCACCATGATGATGGTGTATAATGTAGTTGGGGAAATGCCGTTACTATCGCCTAGGGCGAACTTGGGTTCTTGTGCTACGGCTAGATGGGTGTGAGCTGTTGGTCCTCCCGAAGAGTCTTGACTGACTACTAACCGTCTTTTTCAAAAGTCGTTCCATCTTTGAAACCATTGATCGCTTGGTTGGTGTAGCTAACTTGGACTTCGTCATTGCCGAACCCAGCCTGTAGATCTTGGGGTATGACAGTCCCGCCTTGTGCAGCCGTTTGCGATACAAAGGCCGCCAGGGCCACAACCTTCCAGTAATAGCGGGAAGCCATGATGTGTATATTACAAAGTATATGGAGGGATATGAGAAATATGAGAAGAACGGGATGAGAAAAAAACACTTAAGCACTGCTTAGAGTTGGTATGAAGCCTGTCGACTTTCCAAGGTGACTTACAGCCCCAGGTTATATATACGTACTCAGCTATCTCTATATGAACAAGGCTCTATACGCACAAACAGCGAGGAGTAATAGGATCTACGCTAAATGTTCCGCCCCAGGTTGTTCAACGCATGCCAACCCCGGAAAAAAGTCGCAGGATTCCACTAAAACCTGATCAAAGTAGAGAGCAGCATTGCAGATCCATTCGTCTTCAGACGGCAAGCGCATAGAGTCTCGGCAGCTGCCTACTCCGTAGTCTGTGGGCGCCTTGGGATGCTTGTCAGCTGTTTCGGTTTCAACGCCGTTTCAGCTGACAGCTACCGCACGCTCGCGACTATTTCGTAGCCTGACTATAGCAATATTTACATAACTGCGCCTTTTCTAATTCTGGGAGCCAAGCCCCAAGGGCGCTTGTAAGGTGCAAAACAGGCTATTGACAACGAAAGCTGTAACAAGAAGTGGGTTGCCCAGATTTCAAGCCTCGTTGTACACGTTGACATCTGGGCATGGACATGAGTAAGTACTTAGGGCATGGAGCCACACAAACCACCTGATACTGTGTTCAAGCAGTACGCTGCCTCGCGTTTATGTTCATGAAACTTGATGAGAGCTGTACGAGTAACGATGGTTTGGTGTTGCTAAGGGCTTGGCAACCACACAGGGACTGGATAGGTGACTCTGGTGGATAACATGCAAAAGACAACACTCCCATGTTCAAGGCATAATGAGTAGTTGACGCGATGCAAAAGGCGAGAAGGATGTTCCTAGTAAATAACCATGTACATGAGGAATGATCAGAAACCGCGTTCGCGCTGTCGCAATGGTTCGCGAAGGTGGCCGGACACTAGTTCTTCCAGGGCCGCATCACGTGGCGCCTCGCTTAGAATTTCGAGCCGCCCACCATCTCCTGCTTGCACTTACCAGCTTCGACCACTCCTCATCGTCTATCAAACACAACCGCCAAAATGACGAAGCGTGCGTATGCTCTACGGTTCCCAGGGAATTAATCATTGACGCCCATGTAGGCACAAAGAAGGTCGGCATCACCGGAAAGTACGGTACCCGTTACGGTGCCTCTCTCCGTAAGCAGGTCAAGAAGATGGAGGTGCGCATTACCCTGGATACTCCACACTACCAGCAGAAATGAGTCGCTCACGCTCAGGATAGATCACACAACACGCCCGTTACGTCTGCCAGTTCTGCGGAAAGAACTCTGTCAAGCGCGAGTCCGTTGGTATCTGGCACTGCCGATCATGCCGCAAGACCACTGCCGGAGGAGCCTACACCGTCTCGTAAGACATCCCTCGATACTCCCCGAGCGCAGCATTATTCGAGGATTGGGCGTGCGAAGGAAAAAAACTAGGACATTACTAACAAGGTTACCAGTACTCCCGCTGCCGCTGCCACAAGGTCAACGATCCGCCGTCTCCGAGAGATTGCTGAGGTTTAAGGGAACACTGGGCACTGGGGTGGAGTTCTTCAAGCGTTTTCTCTGCATCGGCAATCATGGTCCGATGACATTGCTCCAATGCAGCATTCGGATGCCGGTCTCATAACGATCATGGGTTTATCAGGAATTCATACAAAACAATGGCACCTTCATGACCAAGCAGACCACTGCACGACAAGGAAAAAAGCAGTAATTGTACCGACAATGCTCATTGCTTGCTTGGTGCTGCCTGATCCCAATATGATACAAGAAAATTGAGGTTCTTCTTCGTTTGCACATGCCAAGCATCGGTCAACGTCGTTAATAACATGTAGTGAGGAAATGTTCGCTAACCGTCTGAGGAGTGCTCTTAGCCGGCCATACTCGAAATCTTAGGTCGCTCGGCAGAGATTATGTTAACAACCGTCGAAATAATTCTAGAACTTTAACTTGGCTAGGGGACTCATCAGCACCACCACACTCTTCTATGACATTATCCTGCACCAAGTAACGCTGTGCGACAAATGTGTCACTTTGGAGCATCAATGAATGCTGACCACCGGAGGCAAATATCTGACCCTGCATTATATTCCATACATACTAACAAAGGGATATGTGTTGACAGAAATCAGTCACGAGGATGTAAGAGCCTGCAATTCTTACACGTGGACTGGCGTATGGCGAAAGTATATTTCATATCGTTTCTCTTTCTACGATCGATGAGCCAACAAGGTTTAAACTCGGTGAACATTCCTCATGTTCGACATGGCAAAAGATGTCGTTCTTGGCATGGGTTCGAGATCACTGACGTGGGCGGAGCTTCCTTAAGGAACATCTCGATCAGACCACATATACGCCGCTGGCAGGCGTGTGCTCGGACCTTTACGGCTACTATGCGCAAACCCAGAGCCTATCGAAACGCATGCAAATTATGGGCTCACAATACCCACGCACGACGTCATGCCGCAAATCTACCGACTGATCCGCACGCTAAGTGGAGTCCCGCAGAGCCTCAACACCAAAATCTTCGTCCGATCCTAAACGCTAGAGCGCATAGTGGCGGCACACGTTGCGGATATCAGATTTTCGCCCGATTGTTCTCCTGGCCACGACCATAGAGGTCTTGTCCGTAGTTGTGCACAGACGATATGACGTTGAAGGCGAGACTGCATGGGTGCCTCTCTACTCTCGCATCCTGTTCGAGCCCTGTTTGTCGGGCGTTTACGGTCACTGACATTGGTGAGATGACTGCTAGTCCATACTTCCCCTGCTTTCCTACCATGCCGGTGCCTCGCCGGTATCGATAAGTTGAAATGTTCGTGTCTCCGTTTTAGTCCTGGGTTTGTTGTGGCCATCCCTTATTATCGCGCTCTCCTGCGTCTTTCTCTCCCGCTTTCCCCAGCATAATTCTCCCTAAAATTTCGCCAACATGTCCGGTTACTACGGCCCATCCTTTTACAACAAATCTTCACGACCGCCATCTCTAGCAGCATCAAGAGCGAACTCGTCCTATCGAGTCGCTCAAAGCGCACCAGTCACACCTCGAAATGGATCGATAACTACGCCTCGGAATGAATCGATATCTACACCTCGAAACGGCTCTATCCCCTATACGATCGACGGTTCCACTGCTGCCCAGACGGCTGCCAACACTGCCGCCAACACCGCTCCTCACACCGGCACCTCTACGCCTGCTTTCTTGTCAAGAGTGAATAGTAAGCTCGTGAATGAAGACAATGTCTCTATGAACTCTGAGATTCTTCGTAATGAAAAGGGCGAGCTCATGATTGGAAGGATCGTTGGTGGAAAACATCTCACAGATGATGTCGAGGACATTGATCCTGCTTGTGGACCCATCAAGCGCGTGGATTGCGACATGCCTCTTACCCTGACCGAGATGGTCAACCACGAAGGCAAAGAGTACATTGTCTTAAGCTTCGCGACTGGCGACAAGGAAAATCCTTTCAACTGGAACTCTTGGTACAAGCGCAGTATCACGACGATGCTGAATTTGATGACGCTGTTTATTGGTCTTGCGACTACGGCGTACAGCTCCGGCATCAACAGCATGTGTGAAGAGTTTGGTGTCGACGCTATATATGGACAACTTGGCCTGTTCACGTTCAACATCTCCTGCGCTATTGCGCCGATGGTACTGGCACCTTTCTGTGAGCTCGTTGGTCGCAAAATCGTATACGCCAGCGCCTTCCTTTGCTTCTCGCTCATATTCATTGGTCTCGCACTTGCACAAAGCATCGGCACCATCATCGGTCTCCGTCTGCTTCTCGGTCTCTTCGGATGTGTAGGTACCATCCTCGTCGGCGGCACATTCGACGACATGTATGAACCACACAAGCGCGGTCGGCCCATGGCCATGTTCAGCTTCGTAGCCATCTTCGGTACGGTTGCTGCGCCTATCTACGCTGGCTTCATCGACCAAGCACTCGGCTGGCGTTGGGTGGAAGGTATTCAGGGTCTAGCCAACATCCCTCTTCTAATCCTCATCTTCGTCTTCTTCCCCGAAACCCGTGGTGGCGCTAAACTCCACAAGCGCGCGAAACAGCTCCAAAAGGCCACCGGCGACGACCGCTACGTCGCTGAAGACGATATCTACACACCAGACGTCAAGTCGATGCTTAAAGCCTCGTCTGTCAAAGCCATCCGCATGCTCGTCACCGAGCCCGTCGTCTTCGCCTTTGGTCTCTGGATCGCCTTCTGCTGGGCCGTAGTCTTCCTCTTCCTCTCTGTCATTCCCATCACCTTCACCGAGAAGCGCGGCTGGAACGAAGGCGTCAGCGGTCTCCCCTACATCTCTCTCGCCGTCGGCACAGTCCTCGGCTGGGCGGCGCACCACTTCCAAATGGCCAAGTACAATAAGCTGCAAGCCGACCCCAACGTGCGCGTTGTCCCGGAGCACCGTCTCTACGGCGCAATGTTCGGCGCCGTCTGGCTCCCCATCGGCCTGTTTATTTATTCTTTTACTCAGTACCAGCAACTTAGCTGGGTGGGTCCCGTCATCGGCCTCGCACCTATCGCCTTTGGCATCTTCTTCGTCTTCGAGAGTACCTACTCGTACACTGCGGATTGCTACGGCGAGACGTCTTCGTCGGCTATTGCCGGTCAGGGTCTGATGAGGAACACGCTTGGTGCTGTGACGCCGCTTTTCGCTAGTGCCTTCTTTCATAATGTGGGGAGTCAATATGCGGGGCTGATTCTTGCGCTGTTTGGCACGGTGCTGAGTTTGATTCCATTTGTTATGTTCAAGTATGGGCATTTGTTGCGGGCGAGGAGTAAGTTAGCGAAGGAGTATTAGGGGAGTGAGGATGGTGTAGGATGGTTTTGGCATATTAGGGTTCAGTGTTGTATGGCTAGTTGTAGTCAAGCTTTCAATTATATGAAGTTGCATATTATTGATCTCATGTTGGTAAGGGAATAATTGTCTCTTGTGAGGTAAATGGTGTTGTTCAAGGGAAACATTAGGAACAATATTGTTACCAGCCCAAGTGTGCTTCAGTCATGTTGCAAAAGTTTAGCCTCACACGCGATTTCTCCCCCAAATGAGCTACCTTTGTAGCATCATATCTTAGTACATTTCCCTTAAAACGGCCTTGCATGTAGCTCTATGCTAATAACTACTACCTAACTATTATATTACTCTAAAGAATTGTATCTAACAATAGAGCAGCAGTGGATTTCTAGAATCGAAGAATTTAAGAATGCTTAAATTCATACGTTGGAGCGCTGATTTCTCTCTAGCTCCTCTGTGGCGTTGACAAATTTAAGATTGGCCTTCTGAAGAGTCTTGATGGTGTGAGCGATGCGTGCTTTGACGTCTTCCTGGGCGGAGTCAATGGAATGGATGCGCTGATATACTTAGAGCCAAAGGTGGTCCATTGCAATCCAAGAATGGTCAGTTGACGCAACGTTGTGGGATTGCGGGCAGTGGTGGGAAGTTGTAAGATCCTTCTGCGACGAGGCGTTTGGGATGCTGAGTTTGGTAGGGAAGCCGGAGTTCTTGACGATATCGACCTGACCCAACAGCTAGGTTGAAGTTGTGCATGTTGGGAACCGCTGCCTGGAGTTCATACTTTTCGACAAATTCCTCAAAAGACTGGAACAATTCCGCGGGTACAGGGTTAGGAAGAAAAGTTTCGTGGTAAAGTTAGGGCCATAGGGCTCGCGCTTTGTTTAGGGCATCCATGGCAGCGCCGACTGCTGCGGTGTCAAAATCTCCATATGATACTTTGACTTCTTTTCAGGTACGGAGGTCGTGGTACACCGGGGTTTCAAAAAGGTCGGATGTCTCGGCCAAGAAAAAGGCTATCAACTCTTTGCTGATTTTCAACTACAATGATATATTTGCCTTGATCCTTCAAACCAATAGCCGAGTAGACACCCCCGATCTTCCACCGATGACAGCAACATCTCGGGTGACTATGTGACTCTACTTGAAGTTCCTGATGCCAGATTCTCAGCGAATAGCTGAGGCGACAGCCTTGGAAGCAAAGAGACAAGCTAAAGGCAAGTAGAGTGCGGTGAAGTGCATGGTGATCAACATGGGGAACACAGAGCTGAATTGCCGATGTTGTTGTTTCTCATCAATGAGGGATATGCAGCATATTTCAAGGTTCGACTCAAGGTTGATTTGCAAGCTTAATGAAATATAGATTTATCACTGTGCTTAGAGTAAGCTCATTACAAGCCCCAATTAGGAAATTGCCTGATTAGGCGACCATGTAGTCCGAGAGAGGTGGTTGGGGTCCAAACTAGGTCTTTTTTTGGCAGTGAGTGCGTGAACACTGTAGTCCAGGAGATGCTGTTAGAGTCTCCAACATTTCGTTTTCGTCGTTACTAAATGAATATAGTAATATTACATTTAACTATATATGATGTTATCTATATGTTCCATCTGTACTAAGTATATCTTATAGCTTAACTTTTTTTATCTCTATTTACTAAATAGCGAATTAGATTAATTAACCTAGCAAAGTATAGCAGGCTGTACTCTAATATACTAGAGTTATGTATATATTATCTTTTATCTATCTCTTCTATCTTATTACTACTATATATCTGTCCAAAACCTATCTTAACTCTTTCTAATATAACATTAAACTTTCTCTTATAACTTTTATTTCTATCTTTACTTTATTTATTACCAATCAAAGCTACTGTAACTCTTTACTCTATAACAGCTTTCTTTAATTATTTACTTCAAGTAATTAACTAAGATATATAAAGATCGATAATAAGAATTTTTTTAAATTAAAATCTAGTCTGGACTTTATTCACTTTGTTTATTTACGAGTAACTTAGAAAATAAGTAAGTATACTTATATAAATAATTTAGATAAACTTATAATTTACTAAATACGTATAGATGTTATAATGATTATGTAATATGTTAGAGTTATAACTTAATAGAGATATAGTCTATTTTAGAGAGGCTTTAAAAGATAGATATCTAACTAAT